ATCTTCTTTTCTTTCTAACAATTCTCCCCTTCTCCCAGTCAGCTTCTGCCTTCTTTTTCTCTAACTCATTAAACCAGTTCCCCAGTCTTCTCCCACAAGAAAGGAGGAGGATAAAAATAGCTTGTCTTCAGCCTGTGCTTACTGGTTCCTTCTTTCCAGCCTGCGTTCCATACATCGAATAACTACATTTCTCCATAATAACCATTGTCTGTTCTTCTTCCCTTCGTTCCTCACTCACTCTCTCTTTTCTCTTGCTCTGTAGCCCTTCAGTTAATCATATGAAACTTTTGCAAGACAGTTTGCAGATGTGTGTCTCTAGCAGCAGCAGAGTTGGGGTTGTAACACCCAAAGAGACTGTTATTTTAAAACAGAACACAATCCAGTTTGTGATGGAGAAAAAGCTGATTAATCACTGGTTTAATGAGTCTTTGCTCAGGCTAAGATCAGCGTGAAAGGAAAAGGCAAGTTTTGTAATGTCTAAACTGGTGTTCTGTATCCTAGCAGTTGGTAATTATACAATATCAACAACATGGAGCTACATTTTGAGAAGCTAGAAGATTAATTACAGTTTTTGTTAATGCAGTATTTTAGTCCTGAACATGACAGATGTGCAGGTGATGCCCAGATCATGGTGGTTGGTGCGTGGGACTGAATGTAGACTAATTATGCAGTTCTGTTTACTTTAGTTATAACTCAGATATCAACAGAGCTTCAGCATTTATAAGATGAAATAGGCCAAGTATAATTAGCTTTAAATATTACAGCACATATCTGAACAGTCATACAGTACAGTATTATTGTGGGAAATGGACAGTGTGATGCAACCAATGCTTAAACACACAACAGTATCATTAACATGACAGTTTAGTGACAGTGGTGTTGAATGTGACCAAATGTGACCTGGACATAGAGTTTTGATGTTCAGTACTCTTAAAGCTCTGCACAGCATAGCAGTCAAAATATGTGCTTGTAGATGTAGCCCAGGTAAAATGGTTGCCGCACAGGACATAATTACTGCAGTCCTCACAGCTTCGATGTCCAGCAGGTCACAGTTTATTTACACACAAAAAGATACGGAGCAACAAAACACGAAGTAGCAAAAACAAAGGGGAACAAAATATGGTAGTGGGGTCTGGATGCACACACAAACAAAATAAAATAATCTGTAAAAACCAAATAACCAAACAGTAACAAAAAAAATCAGTAAAATGCTGTTATATTGCAGCCATGTGCTAAAATCATTTAAGTTCATTTTTTTCCTCATTAATGTACACACAGCACCCCATATTGACAGAAAAACACAGAATTTTTGACATTTTTGCAGATTTATTAAAAAAGAAAAACTGAAATATCACATGGTCATAAGTATTCAGACCCTTTGCTCAGTATTTAGTAGAAGCACCCTTTTGAGCTAATACAGCCATGAGTCTTTTTGGGAATGATGCAACAAGTTTTTCACACCTGCATTTGGGGATCCTCTGCCATTCCTCCTTGCAGATCCTCTCCAGTTCTGTCAGGTTGGATGGTAAACGTTGGTGGACAGCCATTTTCAGGTCTCTCCAGAGATGCTCAATTGGGTTTAAGTCAGGGCTCTGGCTGGGCCCTTCAAGAACAGTCACGGAGTTGTTGTGAAGCCACTCCTTCGTTATTTTAGCTGTGTGCTTAGGGTCATTGTCTTGTTTGAAGGTGAACCTTCGGCCCAGTCTGAGGTCCTGAGCACTCTGGAGAAGGTTTTCGTCCAGGATATCCCTGTACTTGGCCGCATTCATCCTTCCCTCGATTGCAACCAGTCGTCCTGTCCCTGCAGCTGAAAAACACCCCCATAGCATGATGCTGCCACCACCATGCTTCACTGTTGGGACTGTATTGGACAGGTGATGAGCAGTGCCTGGTTTTCTCCACACATACCGCTTAGCATTAAGGCCAAAAAGTTCTATCTTGGTCTCATCAGACCAGAGAATCTTATTTCTCACCATCTTGGAGTCCTTCAGGTGTTTTTTAGCAAACTCCATGCAGGCTTTCATGTGTCTTGCACTGAGGAGAGGCTTCTGTCGGGGCACTCTGCCCTAAAGCCCCGACTGGTGGAGGGCTGCAGTGATGGTTGACTTTTTACAACTTTCTCCCATCTCCCGACTGCATCTCTGGAGCTCAGCCACAGTCATCTTTGGGTTCTTCTGTACCTCTCTCACCAAGGCTCTTCTCCCCTGATAGCTCAGTTTGGCCGGACGGCCAGCTCTAGGAAGGGTTCTGGTCGTCCCAAATGTCTTCCATTTAAGGATTATGGAGGCCACTGTGCTCTTAGGCACCTTAAGTGCAGCAGAAATTTTTTTTTGTAACCTTGGCCAGATCTGTGCCTTGCCACAATTGTGTCTCTGAGCTCTTCAGGCAGTTCCTTTGACCTCATGATTCTCATTTGCTCTGACGTGCACTGTGAGCTGTAGGGTCTTATATAGACAGGTGTGTGGCTTTCCTAATCACGTCCAATCAGTATAATCAAACACAGCTGGACTCAAATGAAGGTGTAGAACCATCTCAGGGATGATCAGAAGAAATGGACAGTACCTAAGTTAAATATATGAGTGTCACAGCAAAGGGTCTGAATACTTATGACCATGTGATAGTTCAGTTTTTCTTTTTTAATAAATCTGCACCTTTAGGGGACCTTTCACCATCAGTGGAAAACAATTTAGTTATTTATCTCCCCTTAGTACATGTTTACCACCCAGCTACATTGATATGACAGAAAAATACATTTTTGTTTTATGCTTGAACAATGCAATGATTCGTTATTAAATACGAGGCAGACAGTCAGTCTGATGAATATCAAACAGTTTTTTGTTTACGCGTCTCTGGCACCAAGAGCTAACATCTAACTGCCCTGTGTCAGTGTTCAGTGTTTACTGATGAACAGAACCTGGACTGGATTCACAGCTGTTTAACGTCAAACTGTGCCTTAACACAGTGTGTTGGTTGAACTTTTTCCACACAGAGAAATGTTCACATTATTCATGCTGGGCTTGAACCACATAAATAATGTTCTGCAGCAGTTTTTATTTATTCAGTCTTTAATCAGTCCAGTGATGTCATCCTGATGAAGAGAACAAATATTTGCCATTTAGCTGACCTGCCTTAGCTAGAGTGAATCCTTGAGCTGATCACTAACCTGAGGAACCTTCTTCTGTGCAGCGCTAACAGGAGAAGGAGTCCATCCTGAGCCTGTACCAGTTGGGACTTTCTTGTCATTGCATATATTATTTTGCTCTCTTCAGACAGCCACACCCTTCATCCACTTGCTGCAGGAGCAGAGGGAGAACACCAGGCCCTCTTGTCTGATGGCTGCACCAGCAGGTATGATGTGGCCTACTGCAGGCTCTGGATCTCTCCTGCAATTATTCTTACTCTAGTTCTCCCTGAGAAGGCAGAGCTGGGAGCCCCGAAGGCTGACCAGACTTTGTGTGACTCCTTGAGGTTGAGGGCAGCACTGTGACCAGAGTCATCTTCCCAGTCTACAGCTCTGAGATCAGTGAGCTAACAGGTGAGCACAATGGTGAACACAATGGATTATTTTTACTCCTCTGAGCTAGCCTGAGCATCTGGCTGGGTTAGCAAGGCCCATGGTAGCGTGTTGCACCGGGGCCCATAACACTGCACCATATGAAAGATCTGGTTGGCAGAGAGGTAGATTTGTACTTTTTTCATATACAGTATGTAGTGTTGTCATCACGACTGTGCTGCAGGTCAGCGAGTTCAGTGCGTCTTGCACCTTTCATTATTTCCTGGAGCTGGCCTATGAGTGTGACATGGTGGAACCATGAATGAACAAAGTGGTGAGTAGTTCAGTATATTGTATTTTAATAATAAAATTGTTAACTTTCACTGGTGTACGGCTTTAGTTGGTAAACAGAAGTTATGCAGTGTATACACACAAACACACACAGCTATTGTGCAGGTAACAAAGCAAATTTCAACAGTTGACTAAGCAATGGCTAAATAAAGCTTTGTGGTGGTGGCAGATATATTCTTTATGGAGATGCATTTTGGGAAGAGCAAATGGTCATCTGGCTGCTATGAAAGCACAGCTTTAGTTAAATTCTTTCTTGTCAAAGACAGTGACAGGATAAACATGGTTGATGAGTGAGAGGATGATAATGAGCAGATAATAGAGCAGGAACAGATTTAAAGCGAAAGGAGAGCTGGAGATATGCAGAAGTAAAAGAAAGTAGCAGAACATGAGATGCCAGAGGGTATAAACAAACTGCTAATTGGCACTGCTACACAGTAATAGAAATTTTCCCTTCTGAAAACACTTAATGTTCCAAGAGCCTAAAAATACAGCACACAGCAGATGGACAGGGTTCACCACATGGTATTTTTCTGCTATGCATAAGGCCTGAGAGACAATAAATCTCACATCTGTACTGAAACGCAATCGCCGGTGTACAAACCAACCCAACAAGGCCAGAATAGTTCAGAAAAAGGTTGTTTGTTAGATTTACTTTATCATCCTGATTCCTCTTTATTTTTGCCACTGGAAGAAAAACGATTAAAAAAAGATTTAAGCTGCAAACTGTGCGACTGTGTGACACTGAGCTACAAGGATTCAAGCTCTGTCAAAGCTGAACAATGCTCTAAAGTTATTTAACTGATAAGCCCAGGTGTAACCCTATCTAAGTGTATCAGTAAGTGTTAGCAGTGAGCAATATGGGCAATTTTTAGATATAGTATGAGTACTGTACAATATTTTCATTCAAGCAAGTGCAGAATATCATTAGAAAATGTTCAAAAATGCATTTTCTTATGCGAGATCTCTTAACTGAGATTATGACCACTGCATTTCATGTGACTATGTATCCTGTAAAATCACTCCAGATTATATGGTATGATGGTTCTGTAACAGATCATTTTCAATTATGACATTATATGAAATAACATTTTATGGTATTTTCAGACATTTTCTTTACAGGTCTGGAAAAAGAAATTAAGATGGCGAATTCACTCACCATCTTTGTCAGCTCTTCTGAATATCTGTGAACACAAAGCGAGACAGTTCAATTAGTATGAGTGAAGGCATCAGCAGTGAGCTGCTGCAGGTCTGATGAAAGGGTAAATGTATAATGTTAACAACTGCTTTTTAGTGACTCATTAGTAGTCATATAAGATAAAATGTTCACTTTTCACATTTGCAATGAATACGGTATTAATCCACAGACTGTATATACAATGAACGACATGTCATCACTTCCCTCTATTATGCAAGAGTGAAACCAAAATATCATGAATACGGTGGCTGCCATCTTGCTTTTTGCAGCCAGATTCTGTGCAGCAACGACCAAGTAGCTGAGTGATGTATCAGGCTGCCAATCAAAGCTATCAATTCAACCTAAATAAATATGTTTCTGTATAATCAAATACTGTAACTTTTTAACAACAAACTTAGCAGGAAAATGAGCATTTTGACACCCATCAACATGATAATATCCACCCAAAACCACAGAAATCATCCATCCCTTATCACTTATTCCTGAATAGGGCCGTGGGGGGGCTGGAGCTAATCCCAGCCGACATTGGGCGAGAGGCGGGTACACCCTGGACAAGTTGCCAGTCTATCACAGGGTACACACAGCTTAGAGTCACCAATCAACCTAAGCTGCATGTCTTTGGACTGTGGGAGAAAACCAGAGTACCTGGAGAGAACCCACACAGGCACAGGTAGAACATGCAAACTCTGCACAGAAAGGCCCTGGGTTGGCCGGGGCCCAAACCCGGAACCTTCTTGCTGTGAGCTCTAACCACTGTGCCGCCCCCACACAAATCACCTCTGGGAAAATTTCTTTGATTTGTATTTTGAGTTTAATGGTTTGGCTCATGTCCCATCAGTTTACAAGGAGGAGACAGAGTCCATGATCTATACTGCAACCAGCCACCAAGTAGTTATCAACTTGTGGTGGCTTCACTTCTGGGAGCTGTCAACCTGTCCATCTTATAGACAGTTAATGTATTAATCTAGTACAATACTTGACTGACTTGAATAGTCATTCAATGTCATGTTTAGGTGCAGTATGACTGTCTATCCTCAGTGTAATATTTCCATACAATAAAACTGAGAGTAAGTAAACAGACAGGAAACAAGAACTCAACACTGGGTCCCCGTAGCTGATATTTGCACATACAGTAAGAGTGTGACATCTCTGACTGGGCCAGGTGAGTTTAATCTGAAAAGTAGAATTAAATATTTATGTGGTTTAACAAAACTGACAGTGTCAAAGTCTTGGCTAAATAGCACTGAACAGTTGGTTGTATCTGCTGTCACCAAAACGTTGTCTCTCACAGTGGCGGTGGATATGTTAACCAATAGATACTACGGCTTCCCCAGCAGAGAGGAATGAGCAGCTGTAAATATTTAAAGCGATACATAGACAAAAAAAGAATGAGCAGCTGAGGACTTTTCAGCTAAATATTTAACTTGGTACATAAACAAAACAAGAAAAAATTCTCTGCATGTTTTAGGTTTACTGTATGTAAATAAAAAGAATGAGTAAATAGACTGTGATCAAATTCTCTAAACACTCCTGTATCATTTAGGCTGGAACTGAAAGGTATGATTTGTAGTCCAATGAGAAATAACATTCCCTGCAACAATTTACTTAAAAATCTTAGAACATGTACGCCTGTGGAAAATAATTTAGCGTCATGTTTCCAACCATGAAATAAACTTATTTACTGTTCAAAACCCACCACGTTGTTAAACATATGTGACCTCTTTTCTAAAAGTAAAAACTATCACATTTTACTCAGAAAATAACATGCTGAAAAGTCTCAGTTCTGATGTTATGGAGGAAATTCAACAACAAACCTGAGTGTTAATAGTAGTTACTGGTGATTCAACATCCTGTATTTTGAGATTGAAGCTGATAATCACCTTTATTTGGCCAAGTACTGTATGTTACACACAAGGAATTTGTTTCCGGTATAGAACCGAGGAAACCATCTGTGGTGCCAACTCACACCAATGGCTCAATGCATAACCTTAGGGGCAAATTGGGGGTTCAGTGTCTTGCCCAAGGACACTTTGACATGTGGACTGCAGGCACTGAGATTCAAACCTCTGGCCCTCTGGTTGGGAGACGACTGTTCTACCCACTGAACCACAGTCCAGCAATTTGTAACTTTAATGAGGTTTCTAAAATGGGTATCCAGGGCTTAGGGGCAGCACATTTACATAGTCCAGCTGCAGCTGAGGTGACAGATAGGTAAACACAAGTAATGTGCTGTTTTACAAGTAGAATAGAAAGATTCTGCAGAACTCTGCAAGAAAAACAGAATCCAGAAGGTAAATAGCTGGTAATAAAAAAGTTCACTCTACCATTCAGTTCTTTAGTTTTAATGTAGGCATTGCAGGCCATACATTGAGTTTACTGAATCACACACACACACATTTCACTAAAAGCTTCATTCTCTGTGGAATAGGAAGTGGCAGGTCTGGTACTTTCATCAGTGTTTCAGTGTGATCTGAACACTTCCTACTGACAATGAGTGCCAGAAAACAGCACAACAAGGTGGAAGACAGTAAAAGAGGAACATCAAAGGGGGGGGTGCAAAAGATGAAACAAACGCAGGATGGCAGAGAGGAAGTGAGAGGGAGACACACAGAGATAAAGTGCAGTGTATGTGTAGTGTTGCTTTCGTCAACGAAAATTATGCCTAAATATCGTTGTCAACTAACTTTTATCACGTGACGAAAACGAGACGAGACGCAACAAAAATGCTGGTTGTGTGGCGATGACTATTAATTAAATGTATTATGCAATATTGTTGATGAAAAAAACTAGACTAAATGTGGTTTACAAAATAAAAGCTATGCTAAAATGTCTCTTCATTTTTGTTGACCAAAACGAGACGAAATGAAATGTTATAACGTTATTTCGTCTCGCTTAGTCGCGTTATTATTATTATTTTGCAGTATTTCTGTTTCCTGTGTCTCACTTCCAGGGCACTGCGCAGATGCAGGCGACGTCAATTCCTTAAGCCCCACTCACGGCATTATTTAGAAGACAACAACAAACAAAGTTAAGTCTGACACAGAGAAAGGGACCAATGGCCGGACAGCCGGGGTTCGTCTTTGGGAGAAAAAGAAGAAATGACATTTGGAAAAACTTTCATTACATAGAAGTGGAAAAGAAAACGGAGTGTGCTGTGGAAAAAGATGGGGAGAAATGTGGCCACAAAATCACACAAAATGTGTATTGATGTATTCTTGAGTCTGTAAGGTAACAATAATATTATAAGATGACCTTGTTTGAAATGGGTTTGGCTCAAAGAAAATGTTGGTTTCATCTATACTACTAGGTACTTATACTATATTGACTTGGTTAAATAGAATTGCATTACTAAAAAGAGACTAAAATACAATTTTTATTGACAAACTAGACTAAATGTCATCAGTTTTCGTTGACTAAAACTAGATGAAAATAGTCATGGATAATTTTGACTAAAATGCTCAGACTTTGGTTGACTGAAACTTGTCTAGACTATAAAGAGTATGAACGTGACTAAAACTAATAAAAACTAAAATGACAGCTTCACACAAAGACTAGACTAAAGCTAAAACTAAAACAGGCCGCCAAAAACAACTATAGTGTCAGTGTGTTTGTGTCTCTGTTCTGAGTAGCGATTTCTTGCATTAATCATGTTAATAATAATAATAATAATCACTGTAATGGAAACTGGTCATTCAGTATGATAGAGACAACTGGAATATGTTAGAGGACTTTGTTTTATAATTTCTCTGCTTCTCTTTGTCAGCAGGAGACTTTTGTAGATGCTCTTTGTGGACACAACTGACAGCTTCATAGACATCTACAGGGGATAGGAGTGGAAGTAAAAGCATAGATGTGGGGTGGCGCATTGTTTTAACTTTGCTCTATTATACAAACAGGATATGAACATTTGCCAAGTACACAGACACTCTTCAATAACACTTGAAAAGAGAACTGGAGCAGAGCTTCTAAGAATTCCCACCTAAAAATGTAAGAAATTGTCAGGAAAAGACATTTTTGCTGACTTACCTTAACTGTTAATAGGAATGGCAAACAGTTTCAGTTTTTAAAACCCTCACACTGTCAGGGCCGCTCGGCGGCCGCTGTCTCTCCTCCGTCTTTCTCTCCTCTGCTCTCTCTATCCTGTGGGCTCTGCACCTCAGCTGTGTTGCATTCCAGTAATTAGTGACTGTTTTGTCGATGCACACAGCTGGGGTGCATCTCGATGATTACCTGCTCCTCCTTATTTATACCGCTGACAGACGCTCCAGTTTCACTGGAACATTAACCAAGTACCGCGTAATGTATGTAGATAGAATGCTACGCTAACAGTTTCTGTGCGTTTTGGCTTGACTCCATCACACCACTTATGCGGTTAGCAATACGTGCCTTTGTTTTCCGCGCTGACAGTTCCTGTACTGTGGATTGCATTGTGTACAATGGTCTTTTTGTTCTTTCACCTGTCCGTCTTCATCTTCCTGCGCTTTTGGTTTTTGCGTCAGTCCCTGGATTCCCCTGTTTGTTTCCCTCCACCATCTCTACTCTACCTGGGGCCCGTTTCAAGAAGGAGGTTTAACACAGAGTTGGAAAACTTGGAGTTTTCGGTTTCAGAACAGCTGAAAAGAGTTGGTTTAATCAACTCTGAGTTGTTTGACTCAGAGTTAGGCGCGTGCCACGTGACTATAAAAAGCCCTGAACAATGGAGTGAAGAAATTACGAGTCACCATTGATTGATTGATTGATTGATTTATTCTTTCAAACATGCAGAACAGAACAATGAACAAATGACAATAACACACATGATTACACATATCCGACCAATGCTAATTCAAAATCAGTTTGCTTACACCTATAGTAATTACTAAATAATGTTAGTATTGTTATTATTTGTCACTTGTAAAGTAAGGAATGGTTCTTAATTCTTCAATAATTGAATGAGTAACTTCAGTAATTGCATAAAATACCGATTTTTGTACGAATTAAAAGTGC